TCTCTCTCTCTCTCTCTCTCTCTCTCTCTCTCTCTCTCTCTCTCTCTCTCTCTCTCTCTCTCTCTCTCTCTCTCTCTCTCTGTTGTCGGTTACAATATTAGATTGCTCCGCAAGATTCGGGTTAAAGTTGGTTGCTTTAAGCTATAAAACAAATATCCATTACGAACTTATCTATGTAGCATTACTTATCTAGTCTCTGTTTACTTGTAATCTAAGATCTCTCTCTCTCTTCTCTTGCTCTTACACGCTTAACATAGGTTTGGTTTCTAGATTTATACAGTTTCATAGAGTTTGAGAAAAAAAAAAAGAATGATGGGAGGAAAATTCTGCACGGGCAAGCCAAAGGAAACTGGTTCACCTTCAACACCTGTACAGATCAAAATAAACTCAGCTTACACAGAACACTTGAGCTCTTACGAAACAGCTTGTAGCGAAGATCCAAAGCTTGAGTCCTTTGACTCAGCGCTTCACGAACGAACTAACCGAGTCATCAACAAGCTCGCATCAGGCGTAGAGCTCAAATCTTTATCCTTTGATTCCCTCAAAGAAGTGACGCAATGTCTTTTAGATATGAACCAGGACGTGGTCAAAGTTATATTACAAGACAAAGAAGATATATGGAACAACCAAGACTTGTTTGGTCTTGTCAATATGTATTTCGAAAGCACTGCCAAGACTATGGACTTCTGCTCTGAGCTTGAGAGCTGTCTCAACCGCGCAAAGAGAAGCCAAGTGATTATTCAGTTTGCTGTTAAGCAGTTTGAGGAAGAGGATGGCAATAACGAGAATAAAAAGTATGAGAAGACTCTTGAGGAGCTTGAGAGGTTTAAGTTAGCTGGTGATCCGTTTACGAAAGAGTTTTTCGATCTTTTCGATTTGGTTCATAAACATCAGGTTATGATGCTTGATGAGCTTCATAAGCTCAAGAGAAGGCTTGATAAGAAGCTTAAGAACATCAAAACATGGAGAAGAGTTTCCAACATGGTGTTTGTAACCGCGTTTGTCTCTGTTCTTATCTTCTCGGTGGTTGCAGCCGCTGTGGCTGCACCGCCTGTAGTGGCCGCTATAGCCGGTGCGTTGGCTGTTCCGGTGGGGTCTGTTGGGAAATGGTGCAACTCTCTTTGGACTAAGTATGAGAAAGTGGTTAAAGGGCAGAAGGAGATCATCACTTCCATTAGAATCGGGACCTATATATCGGTTAAGGAGATGGATAATATAAGTGTGCTTGTTCGTAAACTGGAAGTGGAGATTGAGTCTTTGTTGAAGAATGCCGAGTTTGCTGTTACTGAGGAGAATGGTGTGAGGCTTGCGATAGATGAGATCAAGAAGAAGCTTGATGTGTTTACTGACACTATTGAAGAACTTAGGGAACATGCGGATAAGTATTGTAGTGATGTGACAAAGGCAAGGACTGTGATTCTGCAGAGGATAATCAGATACCCTACTGGTTCAACGACTGAAGAAGCTACTTGGTAAGTTCCCTAAAGCTTGGCTCCACATCTTGAAAATTAAATTTATTGTTGATGTTTCTAAATCTAGTACGACTCGTTAGCATTGGTTATATTTATTGTTGATGTTAGGATTTTTAAGATAAAAACCCCTCAACTAAGTTTGTTTTGGGTAAAAACCCCTAAACTAAGTATTTAATGAAAAAATCCCTAAACTAACTTTATTTAGTGAATTAAACACTCGCCGGTCATAATTACCTGTACTACCGATAAATCTTCAGTTTAGAGGTTTTAGCATTAAACATAAAAATCAATATAATTCAAAATATAATAACATTATCTAAAAATTCGTAATTTTAATTTTCAAAACTTGCATTTAAAAAAAAATATTCTATAACTATATGAGTCTGATTTGTTATCCTTTTAAAATCAAAATTATATATGTATAAATTTAAAATGTAAAAACCAAGAAAATATAACAAAAATTATCTAAATATATACGTGTAATAAAAATTATCAAATTTTATAAATATAAAAACAAGAAAAGAGAATAAAAATTATATTTTATTTAATAAAAAATGTAAATATAAATCTTTAGATGATTTTTATTATATTTTGGTGTTTTAAAATTTTAATCTATATATATATAATGTTGATGTTAAAACAAATCAAACTCATATATTTACAGAAAGTTTGAAAAATGCTAATTTTAAAAATTTAAGTTACTAATTTTTTTTTAGATATTTAACGATAAAAACCCTCCAACTATCTTTAATATGGGGGTTTACTTCTTAGTTTGGGGGGTTTTACCCACACAAACGTAGTTAATGTATTTTAGAGTTAAAAATCCATTTTACAAGGATAAGAAATCACGCTTATATTTACAAAAAAAATTAAAATGCTAGTTTTGAAAATTAAAATTACGATTTTTTAGATAATGTTATTATATTTTGATTTTTTTATTTTTATTTTTATTTTTTATGTTTAATGATAAAACTCCTAAACTAAAAATTTACCGGTAGCACTGGTAATTATGACTGGCAAAGGTTTAATTCACTAAATAAAGATAGTTTAGAGGTTTTTTCATTAAATACTTAGTTTAGGGGTTTTTATCCAAAACAAATTTAGTTGAGGGATTTTTATGTTAAAAATCCTTGATGTTACTTGAATCTCGTAAGACTTGCTAGCATTAGTTACATGGGATCTCGCTAGGGTTTTCGAATCAGAAATGTATCCAAAAATATACCTTTAGCCTCCACAAACAAAATCTTTTTTTTTTTACAGACGTAGTCGATTTGGTGAACCTTATTTAAATTTTTGTGTGATTTTACTTTCTGGTTTATTCATCTGTGTTCCGCATTCATCTAACGTCTGTAATAACACTTATGATATATGAATTTGGTTGGATTAAGTTTATTTTGTGTGTTTTGATTGATGATCAGGACCGAAATGTTGTCGTGAGAAGGTGGATTCGGATTCGTGGTTGGCTTTGGAGATTGTTGGTTTGTTTTCTTTAGCACAAGTATTATTGACAGCTAAAGATATGTTACTTGAGTTATCAAAAGAAGAAGAAAAAGGATTTAGTAATCGTAGTAGTTGCCATGAGGTAACCTTTGCTGAATGCATTTACTAAAATACTTTAAAGATTTTATGCGATTGATTTTGGATTTTATATATCAATCAATATTGTATCTAGATATATGTTTATGAATGTCTCGGTGCTTAGTCTAAGGTTGGAGGACTTAAGCTGGATCCTTAAAGAATCAATCAAGCATTGTTAGTAAAAAAATTAAGACGTGAAGAGTTAGTTGATGAAAAAGATTAGTCCCCACACAACTCATAACGGACATTTTTAAAACTGAAACTTTGTTTATTCCGTCTTAATCATTATTAACAATAATTACAAACAACAAGCCGTGTTTAAAAAAACCTAGCCGCTCTGGGCGATAATGGAAGCGATCCTGAAGACTGATGGCGGCGTTGTCCCGGCCTCTGTTTGATATGCCCTTTGGATATCACACAGTCAACCACACCGGAACGATCTTTGTCGTCTGTGTGTGTCGAGATTCTCTGCATCACTCAACCCATGTTTGGTGTCGTATCCATCACGCAATCGTATCCATCACGCATTTGTTCTTTGCTACCGGCGGTGATTTGCAGTTTTGAAGGAAACGAGATACTTGTCTCGGGCTGTCTCACCCTTTGGTGATCGACGAAGATGTGATTCACTGCTCTATACCGGATCTCTAAGTACGCGGCTATGGGTTTGAATAGATTTTCATCTGGTTATCTAGCGGATCGAAGAGGAAAGCGAATAATCGAGGACGATGATGATGAGCCCATCAAACTCACGGTTCATGAGGACGCGAACGTAATAAAAGACTTCTGCATATCACTGATCGGCAAGATACTCAACCCTCGAAAACAAAAGGTCGAGAAGCTCATTCAAACGAAGCCCGGCCAGTGGGGAATGGAAGATAAAATCATTGCCAATGATCTAGGGAATGGAAAGTTCCTTTTGAACTTCACCTCAGAGGAGGACCTAAACTTTGTTTTTCGACAGGGTCCCTTTCATTATAACTTCTGTATGTTCGTATTGGTTCGATGGACACCGGTTGTTCATGATGACTATCCATGGATAATCCCATTTTGGGTTCAGATAACTGGCTTTCCATTACACTTATGGACTGATCGAAACTTACGCGAAGTAGGAGATAGACTTGGTTACGTTGATACATTGGAGTTATTTGAGGGTTGTATGCTCATAGATATAGACTCCCGAAAGCCACTGAAATTCTCAAGGAAAGTGCAAACATCTGAGGGGGATGACTTCACAATTGCAAAAACGTATGATAAGCTCTTTAAGCATTGTGAGACTTGTGGCTTGCTTTCTCATGAAAAGGCTTATTGCCCATCACGCAACATCCAAGCTAGACTGCAGCCTCCCATGGAACGTGTTGGTGGGGTGTTCTCTCGTGTGCAAAGTCCCACGAAGCCTGAACACGACACACGCATGATACGCCAATCTGACTCCTGCCGTGGCTCTTCTTTTCCCTCCGGCCAGGATCGTCGAGTGCGAAGCCATCCTTTGGTAGAGCATAGGCGTGGAAAGGAACACTCAGACAGAGTAATAAGACGTCATGATGATAGGTATAGGAGCTCGAATTATGGCAGAACGCGACACACTTCAGGTCCCTATGACCGGAGAAGTGAGCAGCGATGGAGGATAAAATCATATGATAAACCTGCTAATGATGGAGAGCAGAGTTCGTCTGGTCCACGAGAAGTTCGAGTTGTTGAACACGTCTCAGGATCAGAATCACATGCCTCACGAAGCAATGATATGGAACATGTTTTGCGCAAGAGTACTCATAATGGTACTGCACCTGAGCCTAAACGTTTGGTGAGTAAGATTATCACGCCAACAGCTGACGATACAATCTTGAAGAGCTATGTAACAACCAGAACTAAGGGTGTTGCTAAATCACTATCTTTCTCACACGATGATGGTCAGGATCTAGATGGGGATGATCAAATGATTGGGGCGCTTAACGATATGGACAATATTGATAATCATGGTGACGGCATGATGGAGCTGGAGCATAACGAGGATGAGCTTAATGATGATGATCTCCTAGGTGAAGAGCTAATGGAGGCTGAAGAAAATAACAACAGCTTACAACCATCACGCAATGGGAGCAGGGAATTAAATGCTGGAAAACATCACTTCGCAGCAGAAGACATGGAGGAGTGTCTAATGTCCCTTTGGGCATTCAATCTAAAATGTTTGAGTTCCTCCGTAGGGGTTCTCCAAGTAAACGATCAAAGACCAGCTCTAGGGAAGCTGGAGGCTCTAGACAGTACACTAGACAAGGGCCACTAAAGATTAGAGACGGGTCTTCATCACATGAGGTTTCGATGGGTTCCAAGAACTCACCACACCCTCATCCATGAGGACAGTCAGTTGGAACTGCCGAAGGATTAGAAGCGACCTCACAGTTCGACGCCTTACGGAGATGTGTCAGAAACATCACCCAGGACTTGTGTTTCTATCTGAGACGAAGAATAGGAGGCTGCTGTTGCAAGACATTCAAGATGACTTAGGATTTGATCGTTTATTTATTGTTGAGCCACTTGGACTCAGCGGGGGTTTAGCTTTATTTTTTATGGATGAATTTCAAGTTAATGTTTTATTTTCATATAACAGAATGATTGACATTGAGGCAGTCATTGATGGAATAAAAGTCTACATGACATTTGTTTATCGGGATCCTATAATAGAAAGAAGAGATTTAGTTTGGGAAAGTCTTACGTGTTTCTCAACAACCAGGAACGAACCTTGGTTTATGATAGGGAATTTCAATGAAATAACCTGTCATGAAGAGAAAGAAGGTGGTAGACAACACACTGATAACTCCTTTTTGCCCTTCAGGTAAATGTTAAGTGATTGTGGTATGCTGGAATTTCCCTTCGGAACATGCTATCGTGGGTTGAAAATATAGCAGGGAGGACGACAGTTAGATGCCGTCTTGATAGGACTGTTGGGAATGAGGACTGGCATGAAAAGTTCCCTCATTCCAAAGTGAAATATATGAGATTTTGGGGATTGGATCATCGTCCGGTACTAGCTGGCATTCTTAAAAAGAAACCTAGGAGAACAAAGAATTTCAAATTTGGCAAGAGATGGTTGGATAACGATGAGCTCAGGGAGATTATACTTGAAAGCTGGAAATCACCTGATCTCCCGCCAAATGCAAGTATAATGGAGCCCAATGCAAGTTGCCGGCGCGCATTAAGTGAATGGAAAAAACAGAATAATCTGAACTCAGAGAAAACAGTGGAGGAGCTTAAGGAAAAGGTTGATTGTTTATCTTCAAATGATGATGCCACTACAGAGGAGATTGCGGCAGCTATTAAGGAACTATCCGACGCTCTTAAGGCGGAGGAGATGTTCTGGAAACAGAAGTGTAGGATTTTCTGGCTGAGAGAAGGGGATAGGAATATCAATTTTTTTCACGCTTTTACGAAACAAAGGAGGGCAAGGAATAGGATTACCCAATTACTGGATGCAGATGGAAATGTTGTGGAGGATGAGGAAGGATTAGTAGCCATTGCTACAAATTACTTTAGACACATCTTTCAATCATCAAATCCTGAGACAATAGAGGAGGCACTCTCTGGAATATCAACCACAATTACTTTATCAGATAATGAGACTCTACGGTCACTGAATGGGAGGTTAAATTGGCTCTTTTCGCGATGCACCCAGAGAAAGCTCCAGGACCAGATGGAATGACGGTGCTGTTTTACCAGAAATTATGAGATATTGTTAAGGATGATTTAACTCTTCTGGTTAATCAATTCCTATTTGAGGGAACGGTGCCGTGTGGATTAAATGACACCAACATATGTCTCATTCCAAAAGTGGATAAGCCAAATCAGATGAGTCAGTTTCGCCCAGTTAGCTTATGCAATGTTAGTTACAAGATTATCTCTAAGGTCTTATGCCAAAGATTGAAAAAGTTTTTACCAGACAGGATCTTATAAACCCAGTCAGCCTTTGTTGCTGGGAGACAGATATCTAACAACATTATGATAGCTCAAGAGTTGTTCCATGCTTTAAGAACAAAACCGAGTGGCCGGAATAAGAGGATGGCTATCAAAACAGATATGAGCAAGGCATATGATAGGATGGAATGGTCCTTCATTGAGGCCACCATGAGAAAGATGGGATTTTCTGAAGTATGGATAACTATGATAATGAGATGCGTAACATCAGTAAAGTACAAGGTCCTCATGAATGGACAGCCAAGAGGGAATATCGTCCCAGAGAGAAGTCTAAGACAGGGGGATCCCTTGTCCCCTTTCATTTTTATTCTATGCACGGAAGCGCTCGTTAGCCTTCTAAATCACGCAGAGAGCCAAGGAAAGATAACGGGGATGCGCATCACGCGTGCGTGTCCCTCGGTATCACATCTTCTCTTTGCTGATGATAGTCTGTTTTTCTGTAAGGCAGAGCCCCGTGAATGTGAAGAAGTAATGAAAGTGGTCAAGGTATATGGACAAGCTTCAGGGCAATGCATTAATTTTGATAAGTCTTCTTTACTCTTTGGTAAAAGAATCGGCCAGGATGTGAGACAAGAGACCAAATACACACTTGGGATCCAAAATGAAGGAGGAATAGGGTGATATTTAGGTATACCAGAGGATATCAGTGGATCCAAATGTAAGCTCTTTGCTTTTCTCAAGGACAAGCTGAGAAATAGAGTGAATGGATGGACTGGCAGATGGCTTTCTAAAGGCGGGAAAGAAGTTATGATAAAATCAATCCTGCTAGCTCTTCCGACGTATGTAATGTCTTGCTTCCTTCTCCCATTGGAATTCTGTGAGAATTTAGCTAGTGTCATTGCACAGTTTTGGTGGAGTTCAAATCCGCCAAAGAGAGGTATTCATTGGTCGACATGAGACAAACTATGCTTACCCAAAGAAGAAGGCGGAATTGGCTTTAGGTTGATTCATGAGTTTAACCTTGCGCTGCTTGCAAAGCAATTATGGAGACTGGTGCAGAACCTGGATTCTCTGGTAGCTCGCGTTTTGAGAGGCCGATATTACAGATTGAGTACGCATTTGCGTCAAATTAATGCTAGCAGCCCATCATATGTGTGGACAAGCATATCGGCCGGAAGAGAGTTACTATTATTAGGAATCAGACAAAAAGTCCACTCAGGATATGGAGTTAAAGCTTGGGATGACCCTTGGATTCCTACTATACCTGCGAGACCAACA